TTCAATGAACAACAAACAAAAGGAGGGCAAAATAACTATTACTAATTTTATTATTTTTGAAAAACAGAAAGTCTATTCACTAACATCCTAACTTTCTCTCGTAATCCATTCAATAACAGAATAGCTTTCTCTAGGAAGAATGTAATTCTAGCTGAAAAATAATAACTTTGATACAGTGAAAAATAGAATTCTGTAAGTATTTTTTGACTATTGATTTTGAGGCAAGCATTCAAAGTTAATAAAGCACTGACAAAGATTAAAACTCATTAACTGACAGGTCTCAAAATGCAATAATATGCAAAGAGTCATCATAAACAGGTGAGTTTCTTGTGAGGTCTGAAGCATACAACATAGTAAGACTACTTTATTTAAACATTTAATCAGTAATCACGGAAAAGACACAGAGTCTCCCATTATAAGATCTGCAGAAGACACAATAACCATGCAAGCTATAAAGACTGTACTGGAAAACTCATTCATAAAGTAATGTGGCTAATGTAGCTAGTGTAGTGCAAGAAAGTAATAGAATTTAATTTTGTTAAATTACAAGATATCTTAGAATGAAGAAAACAGGCCAAATTTACAGGATGGAGAACCTGAAAAGTGGTAACTTTAAGAAGGACTCAATGTCCAATGGTGAACTAATCAGTCTAAAATATTGCTCTCAGTGCAAGGCAGTAGCCAAGATAGCTAATACAATCTTCCAACTCGTATATAGTCAGCTCCTAAATTAGGAGTATATGGACTATATGTTATGCTTGTATTTGGTACGTATTCAAAAACAAAACAAAACAAAACACACAAGTCCATTCCGGTGTTCACAGTTAAAAAAAAAAAATTAATGAATTGTAAAGGATTGTTGGAGAAAATTCACAGGAATGAAAAAGTCAGAAGGAATTTAATATAAATTGCTAAATACATGGAAAAATTAAGGGATAATTTGAACACAATCTCAGAGTATCTATACTAAAAAGAAGAGTAACTGCTAGATTTTCTTTGATCCAGTAAATATGGCTGTAAGCCATACATTGAAACATACATTTATAGAAGAGTTAGCAGAAACATACATTACTCGAAGAGTTAGCAGTCTAGCTCTTAACATAACTCCCACTGAAACCCTCTTGTAAACTTGAGTGGTGTAAGCCTGAACAGCGTAAACCTAAAATACGAGGTGTATAACCACCAAGTACCAACTCAATCTAGACCAAGAAGAAAACAGAGAATACTTGTATCCGTTTTACTGGAGGTGAAGGGAGAAGGAAAGTCTTCCTTTCATCTCCCAGGGCTGAGGGAAAGGAAAGAGGGAGAGGAGAAAGAAAAGAAGGCATCATTCAAGTTATGGCACAGGATGGGGGCTAAAAAAAAACCCACATACTTGCAGGAGACTTTCATTTCAGTTACCCAAAACACGCTTCCAGTACATTTGAGGTCCAACTCCAAACTGTCCATTTATCTTTTCCTTTCCTATGTGAATACCTCCCCAGGCCATCTCCTGCCCAACTCATGGGGTTTGCTGCTATCATACAGTTCTCTCCACTTGTGTAATAGGCTCTTCCCCTAGATTGTGCCTGTCTTTTCTGCTTAAAACTTGCTTGCTGAAAGGCTTTATAATGCACTCTTCCACAGCATGTTGTACAGTGCCTAGCAAAAGAGGAAGTTACTGTTAGTTACTTTTTAGGTCTTTTCTTATAGTTGTGGGATGTCTAAGAGCTTCTCTAACTTGTGTTCACTTATAACAACCCTGAAGGAATCAAGAGTCATGTAAGGATTTCTGGAGTGCAATGCACTGCTTCCTCCCACCCCAAAATGTGGGAGATTTCAATAGAGTTAGCTATCTACCCAGTGATTCACATCTGGGAAACACTCATTTACAGCTGATTTATACTCTGTGTATGCTGTTCCACCCAATGGCACAGAATTTCAGCATCAGAATGGATCAGGATTTGGATTTGGCCCCTGATTTGATAACATTTTTCAGTTTAACAAATTATAACTAGGAGGCATGCTACAGGAAAGTAGGATTAATATATTAATTCTTGATATGTAGTAGAATAAAGACTGATACTTTTGCTTGCAATCAAGCCCTTTGCGTTATACATGATTCACAGGATGGCTTATCTTGGAGATGAGTCAGAGCAGAGTGGGGAAGGATGGTGCTGTTATCAGATTTCAATTTTATTGGCTGCACAAGCAGGAGGTTACATTCTGAAGGTGGTGTTCTGGAATCCACACCCAAACAAAATCGGTTTCATCTCTGCCACTTGTGTCTAGCTCATCTCTCCATGATCCTTTATTCTAAGCATCTCAGCTTATCCGAGATTACCACAAAATTGTTCCACACCTCTCCCTCTTCCAACCCTCTTTCTCTCAGGGCCAAGTCCCTTATTCAACTATCCATTTTCTGCAACCTCAGCTACCTACTTCCAGTATTTTCACTGGAAGAGGCCACAAGAGGCTCCATCTTCTTTCACAACCTCTTCTTACCATGGTACTACTCCCTAGCTCCAGCTCCTTCCTTTGTGAGGATGTAACAAGATTCTTTTTCAAAATTTCCTGGGTAATGGGAAGGCAATGTTCTTGATCCTCCCCCAGTGAGACCAACAAACCTTGGAAACAGCAGCTGCAAGGAAAACAAATCTTTTCATCCATGCAGCTCCTAAGCTCACTCTCAATGAATTTTCTAGAAAAAAAAAATCAACTTGATAAACAAACCTAGTATGGTAAATGCAAGCTTGACTAGTTTAAGTCTGGAAAGTGAAACACTGTTTCATATTTGGTAGTGGTAAAAGACTTTCATTACATATGGTATGACCAACCTTAATAGAAAGTTGATAAAACAAACAGGTACACGAACAATAAAAGATACAAACCTTGCATATATGCCACACATACATTGTATTCAAACACACTGCAGTTTTAGGTGTCTGTAAGAAAAACTGTGCTTGATGATTCAATCTGATTTATTATGAAATCTGTTAATACTTTACAGGAAACAACATTTTCTCTCTCACATACAAGAACTTTTTTTTTCTCCTGGCATCTTTATGAGGTTCTCAGCCTAATGACATTTAATTAAGTGCTGGAGTTAGCACAGAAAGGCAAATCACGACTCCTAGTTTCTGATAATTGATTTATTTTATGAACCTGGTCAAGCCACTTAAGAAATAGACTTTCACAGACCTGGAAATTTGTCATCTACATATCCATAAAAACTGCCTTATCCTCGTCAAACTATAGAATAAGAGTACTACAAAACACAACACAAAAACATATTAAAAAAACTGAAGGGCAATAATTTAGAATAGACACAAGGAATTATTTTAACAGGACATATAATTAGCTAATATATGAAGAATAATAAGTTAAAGTTTTTTGACTTAAAGCAGGAACTGCAGACTGCTGCACAGAAATTTATTAAAACCCATGCATTTCAGTAGAGGCAACGTGTAAGAAGACCGGAGACATGAGTACTAACGTAGCTATTAATACTGTTAACAACAGTGTTAATATCTATGTCATTAAAGTCCCGTTTTCACATACATATATTTTGGTACAGTTTATATGTTCAAAAATCATTAAAACTTCAGGAATCTCTTTTACAATCTCACCAAAACCTGACACACACTTGCAGAAATCCTGCTGTGTTGAATTCTACAGCAGAGGAGATAATTTAATTCAGTGAAGACAGAAATGTTCCTCTCAGAAGAACATTTCACAACTCTGTGTTCTGTGCTAACTCTGTACTCGTTTATCCTTATTACAATGAAAGCTTTGAATGCACGAACTGCAAACGGACCTTAAGTGAATACTCTGGACCTAACTTCTGCCGAGAGAGGCAGGATCTTAATGCTTGTAGCAACATGATCAATCTTTTAATTTGCTACAGCCAGACCGGAAACTGAGTCCAAGCAAAAGGTCAGAACAGGCATTTTACATTCACTGTTAAAGGAGGAGAGGAAAAAAAAATGTCTTTGAGGAGTAAAGTAAGCAGCTAATGAGACACAGCACTGACAGCTGGAATTTAATAAGTATCCACTTCACAAGGAAAATTGCTCTTAGTAATTAAATACAGGTATCATGCAAAGCTTCTGCTTAGAACCAGATTTCAAAATCCTGTCAGTAGTACTGAAGGAGTTTTACATCCCAGGTAATATAAGGGTGACTTTGCCTGGGAGGCTAGCCCTAAACGAAGAGGGTTAATTGCATAACATTCACAGTCATGTCAATTCCAAAGGGACTTGTTCAGATAGCAGTTTGGCATTACTGAAAAACAGACTGCAACTCAAAAGACATGTTATAAAGTCTGCCAAAACCTGAGACATATAAAAAGTTTATTAGTCATTGCAGAACTGAAATGCAAACAAGATTTTTTTAGAGGGATCCAAAATTCTTTTTGCTCCAGGTCTACAGGGCCATAAAACTCTACCTGAGAAAATTTTAAACAATCTTCTAATCAATCACAGAATTTTATAACCTCTCACAAGCTGTAAGTAAAACATTAACAAGGTTGGGAGAAGGAAGTCCTCTTTCTACTAAGCCTGATTCCCAACCCTTCCAACATACCTCTCTGGATGAACCAGGTCAGAACTTAATACCAGACTACCATTATAATGGATACTAGTGCACACAGATGGTGTTCTAGCATTGCAGTCCACAAATGAAAGAGAGTTTAGGTCTCTAAATTACTGCGAGTATCTCGCAGAGCAGAGTTTAATTATTTATCTGTAATTTGTGAGAACATCATCAAAATACAATCACATAACATATTCTTAACATAGTAAAGCCCATATCCCTAAAAAGGTATCTTGATCCTCACTTAATTAGCAATCCAAACAATTGTAATGGTATCAGAAGAAGAAAGCAGTTTAAGCACCTTTTGTGTTTTTTTCCAGCTACATCCAGCAGATTTGCATTTACTCAGGAATGCATAACATAATTATACAGCTGTATTTACTCAATGTAAAAAGAGCACGGACTCTACAATACAGGTTTTAACCTACCTCATGGTACATAGGCACATCCTTAACTTTTTTTCCCTTTTGATTTCCAGTTTCCATGATCTGCAAGAAAACAGAGCATTCTACTGAGCGGATTTTAAAATTTAAATAACCCATTTTACTGTTGTTATTCCCTTTTTTAAATCTACATTCACACTACAAAATGGTGAGGAATCATCTTAAGGTACCTCTGTACCTTTACCTCTGTACCTTAAGAGGGAAGTTATGATGATTAGCATCTTGAAGAAAATCTGGACAAAACCACATTATTTACAGGGAGCAGACCAGCTTACATAGCTTTTCTTCTTCCATTTTTAATTTCTATGAATCAGTGTAGTTTTTAAAGCCTCCAATGGTGTTATCCCATTGAATATGTCATTTGAAGTTGTCACTTATCAAAAAAACTAACATCTTGTCAAAAACAAATAGTATCTAGAGTTTGGCTTGTTACTAAAAGCTGTTTTTTCAGAATACCTGCTTGAAAATGTCTTCATGTGTTATCACGCTGAAGAGTTTCCGCTGTGGCACCTGCACAGCAAGACACAAGGCCTTTGTGTGGATTTCATCTTCAATTTTGTTCCCAACAACAAAAGCGATGCTAGGCTTCCAGTCATCCTACTTTCCAAAATAAAATATTCAGTGTATGTATTAAAATACAAGCAAAGAAAAATGCTTTACTACAGTTTCAAGGAGTAAGCCTGCAGAGATGGTTATTCTCCTAAGACATAATCAATATTACCATAGTCATCACACTAACATAAACTCTATACAACCTGAAAAAGCATGCAGTCTTTTGTTCCAATTCCTTCTACCATCAGGTGGCAGCATTACACTGTGGAAAACAAAAAACTAGTAAAGGCCTGCACAAACTCCCTTACTGGCAAATACTGTAAGTGTACCACAAAAAAATGCAGTAATTTTTAAATGTATTTGCAGATTTTACAGTCTAGTGAACAAACAAGAAGTACACAACGTATATACATATGTTTGGAGAGAAGAAGAGAAAAACCTGAGTTATGGTAGAGCAAGGGAAAGGACCTTTCCAAAAAAAAAAAAAAAGGTAGATGAAAACAACAGGAGTAGTGGTTTTCTCCTTTTCAGTTCCATCATTTTCTTCATTTGTTCCTTTCCCTTCTCTCAGCTGAAAAGAATTACTTTAAATGTTTGCAATTTGACTAACTGATGACTTGGGAAGGGAGAAAGAGATGTGATGTTGCATGGGGGGAAATAGGAAATAGTTTATAATACTCTAAGATAAGGTAACAAAGCATAACATCACCTGAAGATGGCACAGAGTGATTACACATATGCACTTTTTTTTTTTAATTGCTAGATATTCATAGAAACAGAAAAGCAGGAAAGACCACATGGGTCACTAAGTTCAGTATTCCGAACCTTCATTGTCTGACAGATCTCAGCTTTCTCAATCCTCAGATTCCTTGTCCAAAATCCTATTCTCTAGCCCCTCTTATATTTTCCCAGGCACTTTCAGAGTTATGCTTGAGTAATAAGAAATTCTTCTTCATATACTTATGCATTCTCTGGGACGGTACTAACAGCAAGAGTTCTCCTGATTTCTACAGTGGTGCCTACCTTCACAGCCGCCTATAACAACAAAGCAAAATACCAGGAAAAGTCCGGCTTGTGAAAAATCAACTTTTGGGAAAAAAAAAAAAAATCAACCTTACAATTTATCCAAACACAAACACTCTCAGGGGTTCAGCAAAAGATATGCCCTTGACATCAGTGTGACATCTCTATCTTCCCCCGTCGATTCCTTATTTCAAAGAAATAAGCTGCTACAGCTTCTTCGCAGAACAGCTATAACAATATTTATAGTATAGGCAAAACACTGGATAATATATTACAAGTAAAATAGCCTCAAAAAGATAACTCATAGCGGAAATTTCAACCATACCTAACTTAATTCTACAAAAGTATATGCAACTGAATACACGGTCTTTTAGTAGAAAAATTTTAACACTGTTAAGGATCCATCTCATACATCCCTAGCTGTAATAGGAAGAAAAAATATTTCTTTCATAAAAAAGATCCAATAGTTAGGAATTGGAGCTAGATGAACGCTAGGAATAACAACACACACCGTAACAGGGAATAATTATCCAGATTTCACAGTCAACTAATAGCATGTCCTTTATTTCTAGACTGACTCATCATTTTCCAGAAAAGCCGAGCATTCAGAGCAGCAACTGAAGTCTCTACGAGAACGTGAATGTGCGGCATTAATACATAGTTTAAGGTGTTTAACTGACTATACTTTTTTCTGACCTTAAAAATCTATTATTTTTGCATCAATATTACCTTACCCTTAATGTTCAAGGCACTGAAAGGATAGAAAAGAAACAGAGCCTGCTTCTACAGCTCACAACCTAAAATCACAACATAAAAATGAGAAGGAAATGAAGCAAAATGTATATGATTACTTTAAAAATATTTTCTCCCTCAATATAAAACTGGTCCTCCACTTAGCTTAATTCTTTCAGATGTTATTGTAGAAGGAGGGCCGGAGAAAGGACCTGAAGGAGGACAGATTTGCAACTTTAAGGCTACCTCAAATAAGGTTCTTAGCTTAAAGAACGGGATAGAAGAAACCATGGCAATAGCTATTGGAAAAGCATGGAAATAGTCTATGGAAGCTGCTACGGAGAGTACAGTACAAGCACTACCTACTATGAGTTAAGTAGACCGAAATCAAGGAAGTAGATGGCCCAGAAAATCAACAACCTGGATGCAAAACTGAATGAAAAAAGATTAATGCTGGAAAGGAAACATCAGTAAATGACTACAAGTGATTGGGCCTCCCCGTAACTCCTAACTGGGAGACATCTACTCACAATCATTGTCACAAATGGTACTATTTCCCCCATTTTAAAACTTCTGGCCATGCCAAGTGTTCAAACATGTCAAAAGCTCTCTCAGTGTCAGAAATGACCATCTATGGGGAAGCTGGTGTGTCCCTCAGCTGAAGAAGCTCCAATCCTAATCTCTCTGAGAATTCCATGTGAGCAGCTAGCGGTTTTCTAAAATGCCTATTTGCCACAGTAGTATTGGAATAATAGGGGCATTTGAAAAAAAAATTGAACTCCAAATCACATTGGAAAAAAAAAGGCAGGCATAGCTCACAAAATTTTGCTTCCTCATAAAACATGTCTCGCATTCTCTGCTTCAGCTCCTAGATACAAAAGGACAGCTGCTCTAGAGAAGACATTTGCACAAGGGAGGTAAAGTGAGATAAAAAATTTGGCTACTGTTGCAGTACTGGTTTCTAGATTTTTTTTGATGAGAAAAGTGCCTCAAGCCTTCTCAACCCCCCTTTTCAGGTAATCTGATTATTTGTCATTTTGCAGTGTCACTTATTCTTGTGGTATTTGATGGTGTTTTTTCTTAAGGCCACAACTAACAGCTTCACTTCCTTACACCAGAATTCCAAGTTTAACTGTAGGGGCTGAAGAGCGACATTTGAAAACACAAACCCCAAACACTTAAGCATCGAAAGGCAAGAGTTCTTTAACCTCCTGATTTTTAGGCAATACCTCAGAAACAGTGAGATTTGTTCGTGAAGTATGAACATTTAAGGCAACATCACCTCTGGCATTCTTTGCTTTCAACAATCAGAGAGCTTGTAAATCAGGAAATACAGTAGGCGTTACAGGAAAAGGTTACTCATCAGCCATTTTTGGGGCCCTGAGGCAACTACCACATAGGGTACCACTGCTGAGAAAACTCCAAATCCACTTTCATTTCTTGCTGATTGACACATGCCCGTATTACCACTGCATTCTGTTTTTACGGGTCTGAGCTTTTTATATTTTTAATAGTTTTTAAAGGGCTTAATTTTTCTTCAATTATCAGATCCTAAAATGCCAATAATATGAGAGAAACTGTATAGAAGGAACGTCAGAGCAGAATATGGCCTCCAGTTACTGTGCTTGCTTACATTGGCTAATAAGGACATATAATACCTAACAATTATTTCAATTGTTAGGGCTGCATTCGTCCAGAATTCACCTGTCACTCAGCAAATGCTGCCCCGTGAGTAACACACAAAGCTTAAAACTGACTAAGCATCTTAATTTATGTTTTGCAATTTAATTTGGTGAACCCTGTCAAAATATCTTGATGAATACCTGAAGGACAAGACAACTTACAGCTCCATGTTCTTTTGTGCAGCACATTAGAAATAAAAAAAGATGATAATAGATATAAAAGATATAACCTAAAATGCGAAGCTCTGCCAAATCCACATTTACTTTGTACATGTTTGAGTAGTCTGTTTGCCAGTTTTCATGGTGTTTTTAGTAAAAAGCAATTACTTGTTTAGTAAATACTATTTAAATCATATTTTAGTTAGCACGCCTGCCTATAAAATGTTAACACTACTGGTAAAATGACTCCTTTTCAGACACCAGACTAATAAAATTCTGCAAGTCATAAACACACACTAAAATGCTTGGCCTAAAAGGAAAGAATATTCTTTAATTTGAGAAAAGATTTCAAAATATATTATACATCAATTAGCAGGAGAAAAACTTATTTAATTGATAGAGTTCCTGTTATCTCCCAAATAATTTAAGGTTCATAGAACATATGACACACAATGTTGAGGAAAGAAAGAAATAATTAGAGGAGTGTGGCTTGTGGCACCTGTAATTAAAGTTGCTCAACACTCTCTTTCACAGGCTGTTTTCAGTTCCTGACCTTTAAATATTTGGGCTTAAACTCTCTACACTGTAAGATTATTGGGGGGGCGGGAAGGAGAGGATGGTGTGGTTTGGCTATTTGTCAGAATGAGGTTTGATTAAAAAAAAACAAAGTTATGTTTATCCTTTGATTTTAAAAAAACCCTATGATAAAATAATTGAGATATTCAATTCCCTCCATGTTCAAGAGGAAGGAAGTAAAATTTGGCAGCACAGACACATTTGTGTCAAGGATGTACTTTTACTATTTAGATTCAACTTGGCCATACTTGAGAAGTCTCAGTTCACATATGCTCAGAAACAATTTGTTTGCATTTGAGAGTTTTGCAAAAAGTAGGCTCCTGCCCATGACTGTAAGAGCTGAATCAGAAGTTTCAGCGGCTGCCCAGCATCAGAGAAGCCTGAGCTCAAACTAAGAGCAGGAAGACAGTTTTTCCCACACTCTCAAGGCTCTGTCTGATAGTATCTAGACCGTGAGACAGAGAAAATGGAATTTAACTGGAATATAAAATAGTCAGACAATCCCAAAATAAGGGACTGAGGAAATCTTAAATCAGTCCCATTAGGTATAGGCATTATGATAATCTTTAATTAGGTGATCTCATATTTTTCTCCTACAGAACTCCTGCTGCCTTCAGTGAATGTGTCCAACATTTCTTTCCATCTGCCTCAATGGGTGGTCCTGAATAAGCCTAATTCTAGCAACTCCTGTGTTTTGAGCATTTTATTTCCTACCTTTCAAAATATGTTAATATAATTATTTGTATTCAAAAAATATAATAAGCTGTACATAAAGCAGTAGAAAAAACAAAGCACTTTGTTCAGTGAATTCTCTGGACAATATCTACAACCACAGTAAACACCTCTA